GGAATAGGTTGGAAGAAAGTTAGGGGCGGCCAAACCAAAACATGGCAGAAATCCGTGAAGTCATTGACTAGTGGACTGAGCCATGTCGGTAATTGTCGACTACCTGGTTGGGGTCCGCGAGATGATAATAATCGATGGTTAGAGACCTTGAATGACATGGCTCAAAACCGTTTGCAATGGCGCCGGTGCATTTATTCTTTGTGTTCTCTCAAATCCTAATCTTCTGGATTCTTCAACACCTCTAGTTTTGACTTTCTAAACTTTTCTCACTGAATCATACTTCCTGAATAATATCTAATCCTAACCTCTCCGATTACTCCTAATACCCTTACCACCTCTTCTACTTTTGGATTTGAATTGACAATTATAGCTCTGTGCTAATGTGGTATGGCAACATGAACTGATGTACTTACGTACAAAGTTCTACGTTGCATCTGACTGACTGACTGACTTCATGGAGATTTCTGCCATGTTTTGGTTTGACCGCCTGTAGTCAGTTACTAGATATTTCACATTGATCAAATCAACGTACAAATATCTGTTACCAACATTTCTTTTGTTGCATGTTATATTCTGTTCCATTATCTTTCCATTACTCTATATTGGTCAATCACTGAGTAACGACCAATGTGATATGCTTGTTTATTCGGTACTGTTGATCAAGTCGCAATGTGATCACTAGTTAAAATGATTCAATGCCACCTGCACTTCCTACAAATCAGTCACAGCCCAAATAATTAGTTGATAACGTTTCATACAGTAAAATTGAGTGAAATAGGTTAGAATACATCAGTTTACTTACCCAAGGTTACAGGTACACCATACTGAAGAGTTCAAATAGCATGGGTCGGTCAGTCAGTCAATTATAGCGTAGAACTTCGTACGTGTGGACGTCAGTTCAGGTTGCCATACCGCATTAGCACAGAGACCCCACTGTCAGTTCAAATCCCATAATGGTGGAGATAGTAGAAGAATTACAGGTAATGGAGAATATTAGGGATCGAAGATATTATTTAAGAAGTGTAGTTCAGTGAGATAACTTTAGAAATAGAAATGTGTCAATGATGAGGAATTCGGGAGATTTGAATTTCATTAGAACACAACGAACAGATGCACCTACGCTATTGCAAACGATTTTGAGCCATGTCGTTCAAGGTCTTTAACCATCGGTGATTTTCGTCTCACACACCCCGACCGTATCTGCTACCTTAACGTTGTGGTCGAGCTTGCCTATCGTGATGACCTAACTGAGCTGTATTGGCTGGAAAATATGTTCCTGCAGGTCCTACCATGTCAGGCAGGTCGATTGGAGAACGATGAGACTAAAAGCAGCTACTCAAGGTCTGAGGGCGAAGTCTTACTGCTGACTGCAGAGGGATGTGACAGCAGTAAGGTGTTTCCCCTCGAATAACCAGCATCTGCAGCGATGCTGCCTTCTCACAAGGAAGGAAGGGTTAGAAAAAGTCGACCCTAAAAATGTCACACCTCACCCTACCTCACGGATTTCCGTCTGCGGCGGTAAGGACGGACGGGCGGAGCTAACACTTCAAAAACTTCTTAACAGGGCCGTGCGTGACCGTCCTTAAGCAGTTGTCTCTTGGAATCTGTGGTCAAGCTTCCAGGTCTCTAAGCCCAACACTAATCTACCTTCTTTTTCAGGTTCCTTAAGAAACACTCTTCCACGGTATGGGCAACCGGGAAGTGACATCCGCTCTCACACCCGTACCAGCACACGAAACCAATGTGGTCACAATCAAATAGCATGAGTTCGAATATCTAACGTCTCACAACTCTGTCGATTAGACTTGTTTTAACGTAACAAGCGAATCAGATTCATTATTGATTTTTTAAATAGTGGTTTAAAATCACTCCAATGAAACCACTAAATAGACGTGTTCATTAGTAATACCACTCGTATTCTGGAATGAAAATAAATTGGATAGTAAACATATTCAATTGAATGCTTACTGATCTTTAGATTTTTAATCATGAATATCACTTACCGATATCCTTTTACAATGAGTGTATTATAGTATAGTTCCAATTGAAAATTCTTCTCATTTTCCCTTCTTTCTTTCTATCTTTAAGATCAATGTATCCTCCTCAATCGTCAAAATCGCCATCACATTCATTAACTAATTCTTTACCTAGCATACAGTCTAAAGAAAGTTTAAAATCGGAAACATTAAATTTGATGAATGGTGTACACTTAATTCATGATGATGGTGAAGAAGACGAAATTGATGATGATGATGACGAGAATAGCAGTGAAGCGAAAGAAGCAGAAGCTGAAGAAGATCCTACAACAGAAACAGAAACAGAAACCATTCAAAACAGTCGATCTGTTGAACTTGCGGCTAAATCAAATTATGATGAACAATTTGACGAAGATAAAAATACTTCCCTTAATAGTAATAATAATAACAATCATATTGATGACAAAGAAGACGTATTAGTAGTTAGAGAAGTCTCAGATGAGATCGATCTGAACTGTTTAATTAATTTAAAAAATAAAATTAACATACAATCTATCAAAGTTTTAGATCATCACAAATCAATTGCCAATGATCAGAGAATAGATAATGTCATTGAAGAGTGAGTTTCTCGTTGTTTTTTTTCTTTTTCCCGAATTCCACTGCTCTTTTTTGTGAAAAATGTGTATTTTCGTTTTGAAATAAAAAAATAATTATTAGGACGACTTGATGGATGATTTAATTAGCACATTACTTATTTGATCATGAGATAGTGGAGAAAATTTGTAGTTCATGTGGGGGATGATTGTGGTGGTGTTTTGTTCTCTGAGCTGGTTGTTTTGGTTGTGGAGCTTTCATTGTTCTTCTGAACAGCACAAACTTCAGATAGAAGGAGTGAAGTATTCGAATCTCTCCACGTTCGACCTGTAGCTTGTTTTGTTAGCCTCGATCTAGATTGGTTGATATTGACCTGAATCCTTTCGTTGTTTGCGCCTTTGTTTTGATTGTATCCCCGTTTTGATCTGTTTCTTAATCCTATGTTTGCCTATGATTTTTCTGATTGGTTGATAAGTTGGGTCAATTTCGATTGTTGATTGACCTGAGTGGTATGCTTCTAAAAGTTCTCTTGTGTTCTTTTTTCCTCCTCCTATCCAGTATTTCCACATTGTTCCAATCAAATGTATGTCCATAAATGTCCGCATTTATTGATATAAGCGAAAAAATGTCGTGACGTTTGACTTCTAATTGGTGTTCACGTCAACGAAGCTGAAGAAGATGTCCACTTTGTCCTATACAGTGTTTTTCACAGTCAGATAACGAAACACCACCACTTATCTTACTTACTTACTTACGCCTGTTACCCCCAATCGAGCATAGGTAAATTTAGAAAGAGAGAAAGATAGAGGTGTTGAGGAATTCAGAAGATTAGAATTCCATAGAACACCGGCGCCATTGCAAACGATTCTGAGCCATGATACTCAGGGTCTCTAACCATCGATTATTATCATCTCGCGTAACCCAACCAGGTAGTCGACACCTACTGACATGTCTCAGTCCACTTGTCAGTAACTTTTTGGATTTCTGCCATGTTTTGGTCTGACCGCCCCTAGCTTTCGTCCAACCTATTCCTATATCGCAAAACATAGCTCGATGAGGCAGTCGGTGGTTAGGCATACGCAACACATGTCCCAACTACCTCAACTGATGAAGTTTCATTACTTCATCTATTGATCTGCCGTCCTTACATAGTACCCGTTTTCTAACGACAGCATTGCTTACTCTGTTGTCTAATGACAAGATAATTTTAACAATTAAGATTTAAAAAGAAGCACAGGAATTGAATGCATCTGTGTCAGACGGGTCGATTCTGTAGTATTTCATCTATCATTTCCAACCATCGGTTTCTTTAATCACGAAGACTCCAGTCAGGTAGGTAGCTAGGTAATTAGTCTACATGTACAACAAGTAGGGTTGAATCTCTAATGTTGAATCATTTTTATTTTGTTAAATTTTTTTTCTACTTTAACAGACAGTCAGTGCAATCAGCTGAAGTTAACGAAGATTCTAAATCATCCATCAATAGTGACATTATTAATAATAATCATAATCATAATAATAGTAATAATAATAATAATAATAATAATAATAATAATAATGTAGAATCAAATTCAATAACCAGTAAGTTTCATTTTGTAAATGTTTTGTTGAAAATATAATTTCTATCATTAAATTTACTAATAAGTTTGAAAAAGAGTGTTACGCATGAACGTCAACATGTCATTTTGATATGCTTGAACTATTACGAGTTTACCTTAGTCGGAAAACGAGAGCGAGGATCGAGGATACGGCAACACGACATGCTACTCTAATCCGAGTGTCCCAACGCCAATTGAATAAATGAAGAAGACTTCATATGAAGTAGAACCTGTATTCTACAGACATCCAGAAAGTACACGGTCCGAGTCCAGAAGAGAATCAGGATCCCGGACTAGGGATCCGGGTCCGTGTTTGGTTCATAAAACGTCACAGATAATGCGTATTTATATATTTAGGTCAAAAAGGAAACAGCGTCGAAGTCTGTGACATTGATAGTCAGGACGACCATAAAATTGACCAGTAGGAATTAACCAATAGGAATTGACCAATAATTCTCTTAGGATATTGGATGAATATCCTAACAAAGAGGTAACTAACTTTTACCATATTATTTGTGAACTTAACTATATGCCCAACTACCAACTACCTCGACGAGTAATGTTGTCTGGTGTAGGCTGGAATAAAGCTAGAGGCGGCCAAACCAAAAAATGGCACCAGTAGATAGTCGTTGACATTTAAACTGGGCCATTTTAGTAGGTGTAAACTACTTGGTTGGGGTCCTCATGAAAGTCCTGAACGGTGGCTAGAGAGACCTTGGATGACATATGTTTCAAAATTGTTTGCAGTGATGCTGATGCATCCATTCTTTGTCCTCACACAAATACTAAGCTTCTGAGTTCTTCATGGCTATTCTTCTTTCTCTTTACTTTCTCAAAATTTATTTCACTGGTTTGTAACTTCTCGATCTATATCTTTAATCCTTAATCTCTTCCATTTCCAATAGTACTGCTACTACCTCTACTAATATGGGGTTTGAACTGAAAACTTCATTTCTGTGCTAACGTGGTATGGTGGCTTGAAGTGATGTATGTACCTACGTACCAATTTCAACGTTGTATCTGATTGACTGACTGACCGTTTCTGAACCATGACACTCAATATCTGTGACTACTGACCGTCGTTTTGTCGAAACGAGAGGCGTATACATTGGAATTTCGTGCCTCGAATATGCTAGTCCATTGAAAGTGAATTTCATAAAAAAATAGCCGACTATTCATCAAATTTTGTAAAAGAACATAAATGTTAGCTGGCAGTTATTGATAAGCTTGTTTGTACATCAATACAAATTCATTATGGTTACCTTCAGTAAGTATACTGATAGCCTTGAGTTAACCAATCAAAATTAAAGTGACTTCTCCTGCAGTTTCCGCGAAATTGAAAGTGCAACTTCTCTTTCCAGCTTCTCATCCCGATATCTGTCTGCATAAACGATTCCATAAAATATATTCATCTCACTTGATCCGTTTTTTACCTTCTCATTAACCTCGTCGCTCACACGGAGTTAGTTTCGGTGTAATACAGAGAAATAAACAGAAAAATTAATTTCATGGCAAATAAACTCAGATCATGGTCCACTGAAATTCTCATGATAAATAATAAGTTTTCACTATAATGTGTTTTCTTCAAACCGATCAATTACTGAATGTTAAATAAATTGTGTTCATCTAGTCTTTTAGTACTAATGAAATCCTATCAGTCAAGTTCTAATGCGGTCACTAGCTTAAGTGACTCGAAATCACGTTCTCCGTATTGAGATGCTAGATGGTTGGAGTGGTAGCTAGCTCGAAACCATTGTGGTGGTGTTTTGTTCTCTGAGCTGGTTGTTTTGGTTGTGGAGCTTTCATTGTTCTTCTGAACAACATCATCAGCACAAACTTCAGATAGAAGTGAAGCATTCGAATTTCTCCACGTTTGACCTGTAGTTGGCACTCAGGCCAATCAGCAATCAACAAACACATCGACATTGACTCAATCTACCAACCAATCAGAAAAATCA